CGCTTATCACCCGGCAGCCAATGGCATGGTAGAGACACTGCACCGGCAACTCAAAGCAGCTATCAAAAGCCACGAAACTGAAACATGGACACAAATTCTTCCAGTTATCTTATTAGGCATCCGCGCCGCAGTAAAAGAGGACATCGGAGCCACACCAGCAGAATTAGTTTTCGGAGAGATCATTCGGATTCCCGGACAATTTCTGGACCAAACCAATAACGAGCAGCCAACGGACGAGTTTGTGCGTCATTTGCAAGAACAAATGAACAAACTCTGTCCGCACTTACGACGCCATGGCCACCGCAGCACCTTTGTGCATAAGGACCTGGCCAAATCTGAGAAGGTTTTCGTCAGACACGACTGCCCGACTAGAGCGCTACAGCAACCATACGACGGACCATTTAACGTTTTAAGCCGAAACGACAAAGTCTACAGGCTATTGGTCAACGGCAAGCCAATCAACGTCTCGATTGACCGATTGAAACCGGCATACACGATGGACGACCATGAGCAGCCAATCGAACCAACACCAGCCGACCAACCAAAGCTCTCCGCAACCAACAAGACGAGGAGCGGCAGAACTTCAAAATCAACCGTGCGTTTCCAGGCTTAAAAACTGCCAAGGGGGTCCTGTGGCGGCTCACCGCCACACCGCTACACTGACGCGGCATAATACGCCGCGGCGCCGCTACGCGCCGCAGGCCTTCTACCGAGTTATGAGCTTGCGGATATACACCGCCAGGTTGCGCAGGCGGTGAAGAGCTTTCTCGCGATCAAGCTTCGATCGAAGCGATATAAAAGAGCTTCTCTGCAGATCTTTACTCACTCACTCGCTTCAAGGCGAGCTCTCTCCAAGGGCCCTTGATCTGAGTCATACTCTGCTTTAGCAGAACTTAACCAGAGGCAAATTGTCTCGCAGTTTTTCTCACGCTGCCTCGCAAGGCACGTAAAAGAAAAACAGAGTCAGCCGCACATTTCAACCAAGCGGCCTGCTGATACTTCAGTACCGCCGTCACCTCCTCAGATTCTAGCGTGGAAGCTAATTCCACTAAAGTTCTGCGTCCGGTTGACTCGGCCACCAAGGGACACTCTAGTACCAGACGACATCCGAATTCGGAGACCTCTTTTTCCCCGGTATACGGAGCATTCCGTAATACCGAGAGTTGAGACGGTTGCAGCCACCGGCACACCGGAAACTCGTTCCGTGGCTATCCAGACTTCGCCGCCTAGAGCCTGCTCGGAGAGCAGTTGTCAGACGGAAGACCACTTTCCAAACGGAGTTCCACCGACACCCGGGAAAGGGCTACAACGAGCTGATTTGATTGAACCGTCCTTTTTAGGACCCGTTCAGTATACCAAGACGCGGCCGGTAATTTCTTACCGCGCCCGTCAATTTTTCTTTTAATTCTCGGTCTTACACCTTCACCAAGAAAGCGCCTCTGGCGCAATCAATTAATTTAAACAAAAAACGAAACTTGTACATATACTCATGCTCTGACGAGAAAAATAAAATTATATTTTTCTAACAAAATTGGTTCTCATAAAACTTTCAACCGAATCGAACAAATCCTTTGGGCAAGACGCCCATAATATTATTATAATGAAATAAATTTATTTTAATTAACTAATTTTTTTTTTAATTTGCACTTTCACTACCTCTATCATATAAAAAATAAAGTAAAAAAAACGTCTACGATTTAAATAATTTTATAATTATTATTTAATACCAGAAATATTTTATTAATTATAATTTAATTTGGTATGTAATTTTTCACTTAACTTCGTTGAGTTACTTATTGCTCCAACCATAATATTTGTATACCTAATGTTCTCACATCAGGTAACTGCTAACAGTTTTTAGCTCCCCTTCAGACTACTTCCCTTCTGTAACGTATATTCCTACACACCAAATTAAATTATGATTAATAAAATATTTCTGGTATTAAATAATAATTATATTATTTAAATCGTAGACGTTTCTTTTACTTTATTTTTTATGATAGTAGTGAAAGTGCAAATTGAAAAAAAAGAAAATTGTTAATTAAAATAATTTTATTTAATTATAATAATATAATGAATAAATATTCGCTAGAATAAATAAAATAAATAAAAAAAAAGTATAATAGGCAGGGATCGAACCCAGGTCGACAGCGTGATAGCCCAGGGCCTAAGTGCCCGAGCTACGCCGCCATCTCGACAACCGATCCAACAGGACCGGAATATAAGGGACGCCATAAACTTTAAATCGATTTTTCTCGAAAACGGTTAAGCGTGCGCCCTATCCTTTTACTCAAGTACTCTTCTGATAGAGTACTATACCATATAAAAATTTCTTTGAAATCGGTGACCCGAAGTCCGCGTCCTCCCCTTGTAAATCGACCAGCGGCGTGTTGCTTTCGCATCTCGCACTACAAGTCGACCAGCGTCGTGTTGCTTTCGCATCACGCGCTAATGTCTTTCTTGTTGCGCTCTATTAGTCGCGCACTTCCACGCACATGGAGTCTCGTCCAACCGACAAGACGAATCTCCAAGCCTAGGGCTGAGTCTCAACAGATCGCAGCGTGGTAACTGCTCTACCGAGTACAACACCCCGCCAGGTACCTAAGTCGTCTGCAGATGATTCCGAGTCTCGACATCGAACTTGCGAAACCCATGATCAACCGTTTGACGCCGTGCCGTCGTAACGGTGAGATCCCGACGACGGACGATGGCGCCGTACGGCAAACCGGGCTCGTGCGACGACCGGCCCGTGGACCGGCCGCCTAGTAGTGTCACATTGTTTTGAGCCTTTCGACTCACGAGACTCCTAGAGATATCATTGCCGCCTTTGACTAGAGAGGATACGGCCTTAGAGGCGTTCAGGCATAATCCCACGGATGGTAGCTTCGCACCACCGGCCGCTCGACCGAGTGCGTGAACCAAATGTCCGAACCTGCGGTACCTCTCGTACTGAGCAGGATTACTATCGCAATGACTAGTCATCAGTAGGGTAAAACTAACCTGTCTCACGACGGTCTAAACCCAGCTCACGTTCCCTGTTGGCGGGTGAACATTCCGACGCTTGGCGAATTCTGCTTCGCAATGATAGGAAGAGCCGACATTGAAGGATCAAAAAGCGACGTCGCTATAAACGCTTGGCCGCCACAAGCTAGTTATCCCTGTGGTAACTTTTCTGACACCTCTTGCTGAAAACTCTTACAAGCCAAAAGGATCGATAGGCCGTGCTTTCGCAGTCTCTATGCGTACTGAACATCGAGATCAAGCCAGCTTTTGCCCTTTTGCTCTACGCGAGGTTTCTGTCCTCGCTGAGCTGGCCTTAGGACACCTGCGTTATTCTTTGACAGATGTACCGCCCCAGTCAAACTCCCCGCCTGGCAGTGTCCTCGAATCGGATCACGCGGGAGTATTAACGGCGATCGGCCGAGGCCTCACGCCACTCTGACACGCTTGGCTCTAGAACACCGTGACCGCCGGAGCACGAAGCCCTCGGGGCACGCGCTCCGCCCAACCGAGTAAGTAAGGAAACGATGAAAGTAGTGGTATTTCACCGGCGATGTTGCCATCTCCCACTTATGCTACACCTCTCATGTCTCCTTACAGTGCCAGACTAGAGTCAAGCTCAACAGGGTCTTCTTTCCCCGCTAATTTTTCCAAGCCCGTTCCCTTGGCAGTGGTTTTGCTAAATAGTAGATAGGGACATTTTTTTTAATTTTATTCACGTTCCTGTAGCAATATAAGAACTTTCGCTTATGATTGCTGTATATAACTCTTCTTCATTCTTAAATTTCTTTATAATAAAATTTAAACGTGTTGTTATTACACTTTACTCATTGTGGATCATTTGGCCGTTCATACTTATAGAACGTTGTCCGTCCCTGCCACGTGGAGGCGGATCCGCTACTATCCTCAGGTTTATCTCTATTTTTCGTTTTTGGAAGACATTGTTCGCATAGACCATAAACTTGCTATAGTTTTCTTTGTTTTCTATTAATTTAGTCCAATCAAGAATTGAGGCAGCTAGCTCAAGATATCTAAACTCTTCATATTCATTACATTGAAACATAATATGATCAACAGTTTCATTTTCGCATTTATACACCGGGCATCGTGGTGATGATGCAGCACCTCTTTCAAACAGAGTCTGATTTATACTGCCATAATCCGTAAGCAAGAAAACACAAAATCTTGAAGGATTAAACCACCCGTTTTTGTTGTCAAAGTTGACACCCTGTATGAACTTATACGTCACTCTGCCATGCTCATCCTCGTGCCATCTCTGAGACCAATCCAGTGTGACTCTTCCATCCAGGGCAGACAACACCGAGTAAACTTCAATCTTCCAGATTTCGAGGAACAAAGTTGAAGTCTTTCCAGGCGGGGCCATCCCGTCTTTTTATCTTTCGGCTGGCACCAGCATTAACAACCTCCAAGTCTAACGGTCTTATTCCACCAATGACCTGCATAGCCGCCGTGGAAACCGTTCTACATGCTCCAGTCATCAGCAGCAAGATACTGCATCGCAAAAAGTTGTCGTCGAATGGCAGAGTGCTCCGCCCTGTCAAACCATACAATGGAGCCATACGTCACAATTGGCAGAAATACAGTTTTGTATAGCACACGCAGAGTCAGTTTTTCGATGTCCCATTCCTCATTGGCACTCTTTTTAATAGCCATTATGTACCTAATTATTTTATCTCGAATTCCTTTAACATGCGGGATGAAAGTAAGTCCGCAATCAATAGTAATACCCAGGTACTTATGTCTCTACATATCTAACACTCGCATTATCAATTCTTATTCTTGGCATTCTCTCTTTGTGAAAGCTACCCTTCATCAACATATCCATTGTTTTGGTACTAGATATTTTAAGTTTATTTCTTATACACCAACTGAGCAGTCTAGTTGTAATTTCCTTCGCCAGATTCTCTAACTCATTTCGAGAATTGCCTTTAACAAGGAAGGCAATGTCGTCTGCGTATGCAATCGTTTGAACACTATTCTCACTCAACTCAGTTTTCATTCTTTTCAGAAGATCATCTAGACACCAGTTCCATGCCATGGGGCCAATCAGGGAGGACATCCCCTTTGCACGCCACAAGTATATGTTTCAAATTTATTATTTACCTGCATCCTACGTTTTGAGAAATAGCTACGAATTATACTAATTAAGGTGGAGCTACATCCTGCCTGTACAAGACGAGATATAATACTCGGGATCCACAAGTTATCAAAGGGGCTCTGAATATCAACAAAAATAGCAATTACATATTTTTTTCCAGTAGATTTAATTCCCCGCTTAAAGGCTAGCAGCGCATCCTCAGTGGAGAAGCCCTTTTTAAAACCATACTGACAGCGACTTTTCAACTTCCGCTCTCGATACTCAATATTAATTCGATTTATGATGATTCTCTCGAAAATTTTAAGTACAGGTAAAAGAGCAATCGGCCTATATGTGTTTACGGCTTCTCTGTCAGCATCCAAATTTTTGGGAATTATTTTAACATCAGCTGTCTTCCAGGCTCTGGGGAAACAAGTGTCCCGAAAACATCTGTTGTACAGGATCCTAAAGATGTCTTCATTGCAACTCCATATTACTTTTATTATCTCCGTAGT